CTCCCCCCCTCCCTCTGCGTAGGATGCCCTCACTGGGCCTGGATGCACTGAGTCCTGGGGCCCCATGACACCTGCACTAGAACATAAGCTCTAGAAGCTACTCAGGTGCCAACAAACTCCCAGAACTAGGAAGGTGAACAGGTTGCATCAGAAAAGTCCAGAGAACCACATGGTGCCAGGGCGGAGGCAAAGGCCTGAGGGCCCTACCCGAGACCTGGCACCCTCCCTGTAAAGGCCCCTCCCCACCTGCCCCCTCAGCCCCAACTCTTCCCCGACTCCACCCTGCTGCCACTCCCTGCCCTGCAGTCCCTGAAGCTGCATCTTGCCTCACCCTCTTCCTGCACCCAGGTCACACCCTTTCACCTGGCTTCTCCCTGACCACCTGGGCCCCGCCGGCGCCCCACCTGCCCCAGAGTGCTTCAGCCTCTGTTCAAGCAGCTGTCCCTTCGAAGATGTTTGGCTTTTGTCTGTTGGCTAAAGCCAGTGCTTCTCTGAAGGGGAATGAGGCACCTGAAGCAGAAAGGCCACTTCACAGTCCACTTCCCACCTAAGTGTCTGAAACTGTACAGGGGGGCAAAAGTAGGTTTACAATTGTGAGTACACAAAAGTTTATTCTTGTATTATTATTTATTGTATTATTTTCCCTATGAACTGTCAACCTACTTTTGCTCTGCCCTGTATTTTAAGAGGCACCCTCAAGCACTCAGAACATGGGGAAATAGGGTACACTGTGCTCACATCCTCTGCTTTTGGGTTCCACGGAGCCACTGACAGACACAGCTCCCGAGGCACCAGACGGAGGGTCTAAGACACAGTGAAGAACAGCCTGCCTGAGCTGGGCGCGTGAGCTCAGTGGCGCTGCCTCTTCCCCAAGCCCCTCTCTCATGTCCAGCCCTGAGCTCTGGCTCCTCTGGCCCCTGTAGTCAACACTCTTTTTTTTTTATACATTTTTATTGATTTTTTACAGAGAGGAAGGGAGAGGGATAGAGAGTTAGAAACATCCATGAGAGAGAAACATCGATCAGCTGCCTCCTGCACACCCCCCACTGAGGATGCGCCCACAACCAAGGCACATGCCCTTGACTGGAATCGAACCTGGGCCCCTTCAGTCCGCAGACCAATCCTCTATCCACTGAGCCAAACCGGCCAGGACTGTAGTCAACACTCTTAAGGCTGCTAAGGGAAACCCCTTAGCCTCTGACATCCGATCTTCGCATCTGAGAGCTCCTCTGGAAACATGCCCAACTCCTGTTGGCGGCATACATTAGCCCTCAGGGGCCGTCAGGACTCCTCTCTGGCATCAGTGCTGGGAGGCCCATGGCTCCCAGGACTCCTGAGTCCTGAGTCACCAATAACACACCTGAGACAGGAAGCAGCCACCCAAAGGCCCATGTCAAGAAAAAACTGGCCTAGTGAGGCAGCTAACAAGACAGTAAGCCCTGGTCCTCAGGTTCATGCCGGTTCTGACTGGCCTCTAGGACAGAGGAGAGCAAGACAGCTAGCTGTGCTGCCTCAGTCTGTGCCTGGCTCATCAGGGGAGAACTGCATTCCCGCTCTGAATCTTTCTCTTCTGGCACATTCTGCCACAAACATGGGCATGTCTATCACAGCTACTGGCAAAGCCATAGAATGCTGCCCCCCCATCACTTGCACATCACTCACAGGAAATGAAAGCTCAGGTGGAAGTGACCTACTCAAGGTCACGTCTAGCAGGGGAGCGCAAGCACCTCAGCGCCATCTGCTGCCCAGGGGAAGCAAGGACAAGTGGAAAGGGGGCCTGCAGAAGCCGGATGGAAGGCCAGGTGGGTGCATAGAGCAGGCAAAGAGCAAGCAACCAGAGGCGGAAGGGCAGCGGGGCCGAGGGCAGCAAGGTGGGTCTGGAGAGCCTTGTGCTGCAAAGAAACCTCAGGGGAGGCTGGCAGCACCATGCACTCCAGCCTTCTTGGAACCACCCACATCCACTGGACATCCCTGGAACTGCCCCACGTTACTGGTCTCCTGCACGTGATGTGTCCCCAGAGTCACTCTCTAGAGCAAAGTGAGTCCCACTGTGGAGCCACCTGCTTACACCCACCAAGGGAGTGCTGGGACAGGAACCCATGTCACCCCTGGGCTCCCATGTGGGGGCACCGTGTCCTCCATGTGTCTGGCACAGACTTCTGCTTGGCTACAACCATCCATATCCCTGAAGCATCCGCACCACAACATGAAGATGCAGCCAGGAGATGGGTTGGAGGAGAGGCAGAGACGCTGGAGCCTCGGCTCAAGAAAGACTGATGAAAGAGGATCTGACATTCTAATCTGCTTGTTTTCTTGAACCCAATTTGTTGCCAAAGGTAAACAACACCAGACAGGCACTCTAGATACTGAAGCACACCCCGCTGTGGGCTCTGTGCCGGTGGCCGGGGTAGACAGTAGCCACATGCCATGCCATACGGACACGCCAAGGTCGGGAGGTGTCAGCTGCTGAGAGCTTGGGTGAGACCCCTGTTAGGAAAGCAGGGGTGGCTCCCCAATACATTCTTTAAAAAAATTTTTTTTTTATTCATTTCAGAGTGGAATGGAGAGGGAGAGAGAGAGAGAAACATCAATGATGAAAGAGAGTCACTGATAGGCTGCCTCCTGCACGTCCCACACTGGGGACTGAGCCTGTAACCTGGGCATGTGCCCTGACCGGGAATTGAACCCTGACCTCCTTCCTGGTTCATAGATCGACGCTCAACCACTGAGCCATGCCAGCTGGGCTCCTCACCACATTTTAAAAAAATCTATTTTAGAGAGAGAGGAAGGGAGGGAGGAGGGAGGGAGGGACTGTCCAGGATGACAGTCACTGATTTCCCCATGAGGTTACTGGGCACTTGAAATGTAATTAAATTTCAACTGACTGTAACTTGAGAAACTCAATTTTTAGTTTTATTTAATTTTAATTAGTTTAAATGTAAATAGTTACATATGGCTAATAGTTATATAGCATTTGACAGCACAGCCCCAGAAAGCCAAACAACTTGCTTAGCTTCTGTTTTATTTTACCATGAAAATGACAACAGCATAACTATCTAAGACACTAACTTAGAAACAATGTTTTATTGCTTTTAGACAGAAAGGAAGGGAGAGGGAAAGGGAAACATCAATCAGCTACCTCCTGCATGCCCCCTACTGGGGAGCCCAAAACTAGGAATCGAACTGGTGACCTTTCAGTGCATGAAATGAGCCACAACCGCCAGGGCTAAAACACTAAAACACTTTTTTTAAAATCTATTTTTATTGATTTCAGAAAGGAAGGCTGAGGAAGAGAGAGAGAGATATCAAAACATCAATGATGAGAGAGAATCATTGATTGGCTGCCTCCTACATGCCCCCATTAGGGATTGAGCCTGTAACCTGGGCATGTGCCCTGACTGGAAATTGAACGATGATCTCCTGGTTCATAGGTTGACGCTCAACCACTGAATACTAACATTTTAAAAAATATTTATTTTTACTGATTTCAGAGTGGAAAGGAGAGGGAGAGAGAGAAACATCAATGAGGAGAGAGAATCAATGATCGCAGTCTCCTGCACGCCCGCTAATGGGGAATCAAGCCCACAATCCAGGCATGGCCCTTGACTGGAATCAAACCTGGGACCCTTCAGTCCACAGGCCAACACTCTATCCACTGCGCCAAACCAGCCAGGGCAACAGTAACATTTTTAAAAGATATTTACTCCCACATTCTCTAGAAAATGAAAACATCAGAACTATCCAAAATATTAAAATAAAAATAAGCCCAGATATTTACTCACATCCCCTCAAGAAACAAGCCGGGTTTGGCCTCATGTAAGCTTGGTTAGGTACTCTGAGAGCCACTGTGAAGGAAGTCACAGAGATTACAGTGTGTCTCACAAAGGCGCTCAGAGAACCCCAAGCTTCCCAGGAGCCCTGGGCACCGCCCCGTAAATACCTGTGCTGAGGGCTCTCTGCCCAAAGGGATGGAGCTTGACTGGACGGCAGACACAGCGGTGGTGGGCGGGAACCGGGCTCTTACTTGCATCCCGCCTTGGGCCAAGGCTTCGGCGATCATCTTGAGGACAGAGGGACAACAGACAAGGTGATCGCAACAAAGAAACTCAGTGCAGGGGCAAGTGGAGAGGGGTGTGCAGCCTCCGTGACAAGTAGCTCCATGACAAGGGTGAGGGGCCTTCAGGGGCTACATGTTCAAGCCCACAGCATGGAGGCCCACCTAGGCATCAGGAATCTAGAGGAGCCGCCAAGAATGCTGCCTCCAGACCTTTCTATGGTGTTGGATGCACTCCTTCCTCGAGCCTCTGACCTGCTGATGCGCCCACAGAGCCTTCAGGGCCAGACCTCAATGGCCAAAGGGTGTTTTTAGGAGACGGAGCTCCTGGGACAGACTCTGAGAGAGTGCGCTCCGCCAAAGCTGGTCAGAAGTCGGCTGTCATTAAAATAGGGAAGAGGACAGGCAAACCAGCTCACCTTTCCTTCCCAATAGGATACTGCCTTATGCCACCTCCGAGGGCCTGCACTCAAACTGTCCTTGTCTCCTCCAGGCGGTTAAGTTTCTACCGGGGAACCAGTTTATCACTAAAACCAGGGAGAGGTGGGCAAGGGAAGCCTGGGCCTCCACTTAAAGCCTCGAGCTCATGAGGAGGTATGCCACCCCCAGGGACATGGGTCAGGTCTGTCCTTAAACATACAAGATGATTCCAAATTCCAGAATTCCAGCCTGTCCTGGGACCACTCTCCTCATCAACTTATGCTTCTGAGAATATCGGGGCAGCACTGTCGTAGGTCAAGGGCTGGCTTGCACTGCCGGGAACCAGTGGCCTCCTGAGGCCTGGTCATTCTCACTCTGGGCGCGGATGGAGAACAGGCCTGCATGCACTCCCAACTTTTCAGGTGAAACCAAGCTGTAACAACCCAGCCCCTCAGAAAGGAAGAGGGGTGAACCATGGGGAACAAACATCTGTCCCACGAGGGTGTGGACCAGTCCATGAGACTGAAGCGAAGCGGCACTGATGGCGATTCAGTCCATGTGGCGAGGTGGTGCCAGGACAGAGCTCAGAAGCAGGGGAAAGGGCTGAGGGGAGATCTCCGGCATCACAACTGTGTTCCACACTCACATTCACGGGTCACATGCAGCAGGCACCGCAAGCTGGGGGTGACACAAGCAGTATCAGATTCCAACCTGAGCCTTCCAATAGTGATGGGAATGGGGCAGCCCTCACACGGGACTGGGAGAAGACATTTCTGCAGCCACCCCAACAAAAGAACTCCCTGGGGGTGGGGGGCGAGGAAGGCATTCTGGTGTCTGCCAAACACGAGAGTGGTCCTGAAGAGCCCACCGCTCACCGCCCAGTTTAGCCACAAAGTGGGATGTTGGGGAGGGTGTGAGGACAGGAAGCCTGGGGAAACATGACTCTTACCAGAAACTACTCCCCGAGCCCAGGGTGGGGCCAAAAGCAGCTCTGTCCTGGGTTCGGCTCTCAGCCCATGGGCAGATGGGGGTATCAGTAAATAGTGTCCACTTAAAACCACCAATGGGTTGCACATTAGGGTCAGTGGCCACTAGAAAGTGCTCTTGCCAGAGGGAGAAAGATCTGGAAGTAAGTCAGGTGGTCCAAGAAAGTTGCAAATTTTTTCCATGAAGAAACGAAAGTAATAAGGAATGAATGCTTAAATCTAATTTGCTGCTGACTGGTTTTCTTGTAACTGAGAAATCCTGGGAGGAAAAGCTCATTTTCTTTTAACCACAAATTCTAATGAAAACACAGCAGTAGTGTTTACTAGATAGATGACCCAGGCAGCAAACACGCAGCAACTCATTCTCCCGTTCTGCTGCGTGACCACATTTCTTTACCTCCCAACACACATCCACCCAGAAAGGAATTCAAGCTCCATCCTTAAGGCTGTGGGCTGCGGGCCTGGCTCCACCATGGTCACTAGGCAGGAGGGCCTGGAAGGAGGACAGGGAGCGTCCATACAGGGCGGCACATCAGGAAAGTATCTATTTTTTTTTAATCTTCACCCGAGGATATTTCTTCATTGCTTTTTAGAGAGAGTGGAAGAGAAGGGGAGAGCCAGAGAGAAACATCAGTGTGAGAGACACATCAATTGGTTGCCTGCCACACCTGTCCCAACCAGGGTCAGGGATCGAGCCTGCAACCGAGGTACATGCCCTTCACCAGAATCAAACCTGGGACCCTTTCAGTCCAGGCTGATGTCCTATCCACTGAGAAAAACTGGCTAGGACAGGGAAGTATCTCTGATGATAATTCTTTTGTAACTTGAAAGTTATAATTAAGACTGTTGAACTCCGAGGGAAGGCAGGGGAGGGGTGAGTGGGATGAACCTGTATGCATATATGCATAACCCGTGGACACAATGAGGTGGTGAGGGCCTGGGGGAGGATGGGAGCAACTGGAAGAGATTAAGGAGGGAAAAAGGAAGACCTATGTAATACTTTCAACAAAGATTTTTTAAAAGTTATAATTAAGTTTCCATATACCAAAAAATAGAATGTTGAAAGATAAAAACATAGGGGCTGTTTGGAAACGGAGACACATTCTGTTCTGGTTTTCTATGCAGTCACAGATAACATTTATGAAAGAAACAGAAGTTGGTGCAGCTACCCTGTGTAACCTAGTAAGTCCCACTGTAGTGACAATGACATCAACTTTCTCATTTACACAAATAACATTACATACGAGAACCAAGCATCTACATAACAGGGCACACCAATTTTCGTAGCACACCACACACCAAACTCAGCCCCTGGTTGAGCCCTGGCCACTCATCAGGCCACACCACCATGGAGTGTTTGACGAGGCACCTCTTTTCTGTGCTGAGGGGACAGAGTTGCCTGTCCATGGAGGGCTACCAGCTCAAAACCAGTCTCAGCACTTCTTTCACAGAACCACCACTTGCCCCTGTGAGCAGCAGTTCACATATGTAAAGCTGCGACACGTGGTCACCATGTCCTGGTGTCAAATGCATGGGCACCACATAGGAGCACTAGCTTGCATCTTTAAACCCCTAGTAGACGACTGGCTGACACAATTCAGGGGCACCAAAGTGACCCAGTGACTCATTTCTGGGAAGCATCAGGAAACCATCTAAAACCCAGCCATGCATTAGACATGCATCCCTGGTAACAGTAAAAAAATGAAAATAATCTCAGGATCCAAGAGCAGTACATAAATTAAGGACAGCAGGATATATTCATAAAAGGAACACTACCTATAGAATAACGTTGACTGAGATATTTTAATTATAAAACGTTTTACCTCCATTGTAATGTAATAGCCATACACAAAATCCTATGTATGTCCTATGACTTCCACTACGTGAGAACTGGAAAGAAAAGATATCAAACTGTTTCTTCTAGTCTGAAATGTTTCCCTTATTTATAGTTCTCTTTACCCACATCCTATAGTCACCACATATATTTAAAGTTGGGGTCCAAGTATCTCTAGCCTTGTCTTGTCCAGGTTGCAAAGGAAGGCTGTGAATCCAGAGCTTCTCCCAGGAAGGCTTGTCCACCCTGGGGACACGGCTGCTAATAGAATGCAGGGATGCCAGCTAACCGGGCTCCACAAAACTGCACTACCTGCCAGGAGCCCAGAGGTGAACCAGCAGATCAGAGGCAGGGGACTGCCTGCCATGGTTCTGCGTCTGGGCTGAGGCACGGCACACACAGGCACTCGCACACCTGGGCTTCAAGAACGCTTCCTGTGCCGCCAGCACCCGGGAATCCCACCATGGGCCACACAGGGCAGGCTGAGGCCTCTCACCCACTCTACCCGACGCTGGTCTGTGACACACAGGAATGAGGTGGACACTGCTCCTAAAAGAAAACCTGAAGGTTCATTCTTTATAAAACCAAACCCACCCACAAGTACTCAAGTACTCCATCCACCCCAGCTACGAGTCCCCCTCCTGAAAAGAAGAGGCCCCGTCCCCTCTGAGCGTTGCCTGCCAGCAGCCTTGTGCCTCCACCCGGAGGTAAAGGTTACACATCACGGTTACTCTAGAGGGGACTGAGCCCACGGCCAAGCCCACGGCCAAGCTCCCGAACTGGCTGGACTGGGACCTCCAGCAGAAGCAAAGGGCAGAGTAACTGCTGGGAAAAGCAGCGCTGCACACGGGCTCATGCAGGGTACTGAGCACAAACAACCTGCCTGCTTCTGGAAAGTGGTGAGGTGCCAGGGAAGCGACAGGGAGTACACTTCCTTGAGCAAGAAGCCTAGGAATAAACCAGCAGGATGGGGCCGGACCTCGGTCGGAAGACATCAACCTTTCTATGGCAGCTCATTCCCAAACACCGATAAAGGGGATGGAGAGAGAAGTTCTGCTTCAGGATGGCCCAGTGCAAGGTAAAAAATGCCAAGCTTCTCACTCTCCTCCTAGACTGGACCCGAGAACCAGAAGTTTCCATTAAGAATGGTCCTGGGACAGAGGAGGGAGGGTCACTTTGTGACAAGGGCAGTGGCTTCTGTGGACTGGGTGGGCCGTGGTTCTGACCATGCACCTTCTTCTCTGCATGAGGCACCAAGAAGAGGGAGCCCTAGGAAGCCCGAGGACAAGCAAGGACACACAACAGTGGCAGCAGAGATGGACTCCAACCTCGTCACACAGGGCAGCCAGCCCCGTCCCCGCTACAGACATGAAGTTCATTGTGTGCTTCACACAGGACTATGTCTGGGCACGCTGGTGACATGGGGAACTCTGGGCCAGGTCATTTGGTGCAGTGACCCCAGAGGCTGCTAGGCTGGCTCAGCTGCATCGAAACACCGCAGGTTCCTCCCTTCGGCTAGCTTCTCCTCAGGCAGCTTCCCACAACTCCAGCCATGCAGCTGGGACCAGGAAGGACTGTTTCTGAGCATCCCCCACAGGGAAATGTCATCTGACACTAAGGGAACACACCAAATCCCAGAAGTGCTCGACCTGTGGCCCTGCGCACTCACGGGTAATGAGCGGGGCAGGCGTGCAGTGTGGCTCTGGGTGGCTGTAGCCTCACATCAACTAGTATGTCTGCTCCATCTAAAGCCAACACTCTTCTGAGCTGGATTGTTGTGCTCTTACCACTGGGTGGAGACAGGAAGAACCGAGGCCCCAGACTGGATGTCCCCCCACCTCAGCACCAGCACAAGGGTAAGGGAGGGTGTCCATGGAGAAGTCACAGGGCCAAGCTCCAACCCCCAGAAACCAACAAGAATCTGGTCTCTACTACGAAAAGGCGGGGCAAGGCCTCCTCCATCCATCAATATCCAATACCCAGAGGGTGAACGTGGTGGGCCTCGGCCACACTTCCCAGCACAGGAGTCAGCCCCAGAAGTCAGCCTGGCAGGGACCTCAGCACAAGCCTGCGCTGTCAGCTGGAGCCAGATGCCACCATTCCCACGCTCTTTCTACTGTCCACCCCCTGCTAGCCCCGTACTCAGAGTTGAGGCAAGCATGAGACGACAACACTCCCCTCTCCACTGGTGGTCTAAGAAGGAAAGAGGTAAGAAAAAGGACATCAGAGGAGAGGTGGGAATGGCACGTGCACTATGCAGCTGGGGGACTCAGAGATCATCAAGCAGAGCTGGCTACCTCATGACTCCAGGGACCAGCTCCCGGAAAGCCATCATCTCGCAAAGTGCCAGGGAAGAGAAGGCCCACGCTTTACCAACCTGGCCCTGATCCAACCAGGACCCTCGCCACAGAGGGCTGGAAATCCAGCTCCATTCCCAAGTGGACATGCACCTGCTAACTACAGAAGCCCTTGGCTCTGATGGCCCTCACCTGGACTCCAGAACCCACTATCTGGGGGGCCTGAGCTGTCGGCGCTGTCTGCTGCTGCACCGGTGGCTGCACCTGGGGCTGCTGCACCACCATCGGAGCTCGGACCTGGGGGAGGAAGGGAGAATTCGATTTGGAGCCACGGAGAGCAGAGTACCCACTACTTCTGGGGGAGCTTTGACGTTCGAAGCTTCTTATGAGGAGGATGGGATCGTTATGTCTTCACTGGTTATTATGTCACCTTAATGGCCGTTCCTTATCCTTTAGCTCATGAGCCATGTCCCACACCAGCCTGTCTTTGAGTTGCACAGAGGAGTCCCACTTCCTCTAACCCTGGTGAGAAGAACAGCTTTCCCACCGAGATGTCATCACCATCTATCCCTGCAAACAAAGCAATGGCTCCAACCACACAGCCCAGCCTTCTCAACCTCGGGCCCAAGCACACTAACAGCCTATAAGAGTCCCACTCAGAGCCCTGATGCCTCAAAAGAAAGCAGAGTGGATGGCCAGCCAGCAGAAGGATGGCTCCTAGGTGGCAGGTCTACTAATACCTGCTTCTCCCAACTATCCCCAGCCTTTCAGCCTGCTCCTGTGAGCCTTCTATGCACTTGCCACTCAATTCAGGCATGGCCTATCCTTACTCCATTCAATGAGTCACACATAGAAAAGGCCATGAAAACCAAGGAAACGAGCAAAAAAACCCACACATAAAAATGGCCCCTTGACGTAGCTACTCCTAACTTGGTGGCAATATTCTGTCCTCTGTGTAAATGTCACCGACTGGATTTTTGCTTTGTACAGAGATGCATAATAAGACTGAAAGTAACATTTTATATTAATACCCTCCTCAAAAACATAGTAATGACAGGGATCTTTGATCAGAAACTCTTAGAAGTAGCAAACCACCATGGATGCTTAATGGAGGTGACAGGTCCTTCCCACAGTGAGAATGCACGTGCTGTCACCTATCTAGTCATCAACAATCCTAAAATCATCCGTAATTTTAAAATGGCCACGGCCACCACCACAATCAGCTATGCTGCTTGGAAGACAAACTGCTACTCCTGCAGCAGGCACTCCCAGTGCAGGCTGCAGCAGCTCTTGGAATGCCCACTCCCCCGCCGAGCCAGACGTGAAGGCCAACACGGGAAAGGGTCACCTGAGTCCCACTGCTTGAAGAGAGGACATGCCGTCTATAGCCAAAGAGCTTCGGAAACTGCTAATGGCCACAAGCTTCATGTGACACCGGAGGAGCCACGGCTACCACACGTCATGGGTACTCACAAGCTTCAGCGGAGGCTGGGGGTATAGCATCTGTCCGGGGAGGGCCGGAGCCTGCGACACCAAAGGCTGGGTCTGTGACTGTGGCGGGAGCTGTGATGGTTGGTTCTGAGCCACTGGTGGTTGCTGAGGCTGTGGCTGTGGCTGGTGGTGCTGTGGGTGATGCATCTGCTGCAGCTGCTGGGGCAGGGCCTGGGAGGGGGGAGGCTGTGGCTGCTGCATTGGTGGCTGCTGCATTGGCGGCTGGGCCTGCAAAGCCTGCTGCTGCTGCTGTTGCTGCAGCTGCAACTGTGCCATCCTCTGCAGCTGCTGCTGCTGCTGTATCTAGGGGCAGAACAAGTAGCACTCCGTCACCCCATCGGCCTCTGGGCCCTGTGCCAGCCTTGCCCCAGGAAGCCTGCCGGGGCTGTCCTCACACGGGGCAGAGGGAGCACTTCCCACAGAGAACACTGAGGAAACACCAGGAGTGCACTTGTGCCCTGGCCATCAGACGCTGGCTGGTCTACCCCTAGACCTGAGAGGATGGAAAATTCAAGGGAAATATTGGGAGAGTTTAGTAAAAGTAACATATGGATGCAGCCCTACGGAGGCTGGGATAAATGCTCAGGTGACTCAAATCTCCAAGGTCCCTACACTGGTCAATAGTACGAGCCTCACGAAGATGGCCAATGTCTGATTTTCAGGATGAAGATGAAAGGTGGGAGTGAAGACTCACTGTCGGTTCTGAGAGGGTGGCCACTGAGAAAAGGAGTCAGCGAGCCAAGGCATGGAGGACATAGAAAAGTGAAGGTCCCCTCAGGGATTCCCTCCCTCAGCCAAGAGCAGACCTAACAATAGATGCTTAACATGTCTGATGCTGACTGTAAACCATGGGGGGTGGGGTGACTGCGTTCTTAGGAGCAGGGTTTCTAATGTGACATTGCCATGACCCTGTAGGACACTAGATATAGGATGATTAGTGCTGTGTTCAGGCACCAAACAAGCCCACGTGATGGCTCAAGCATTCATGCATCTTGGAGAGTTCATCTCACTTCTTGATTCAGCTCTTATATGAATCGCTTGCACCCAGAGCCTCCAGTGAGTCAGCCCCCAGCACGTAGTAGGTCTGCAGCTAGACACCCAAGTCTGGCAGAGAGGCCAGTCTTGTGAGATCAGATTACCTCCTAGCAAGTCAGGGCCTATTTTTCCTCCAGGTTCTAGGTTCTGTGGGAAGCTCATGAAGAAGGAAGCTGAGGCACCGGGTGTCAGGAGGATCCACTACTGGCTCTGGGTCCCTACACCCATCACAATGGCCGGTGCGTGTCCAGAGCTCCAACACCACAGGAGGGAGGCCAAGTACAGGAACAAGAGCACCTGGTACCTGTTGCTGGTTTTGATGGTGCAATTTAAGCAGGTGCTGCTGTTGCTGCTGCTGCTGCTGGAGCTGCTGCTGCTGCTGCTGCACCACTGCCTGGAACTGCTGCTGCATGGCATTCTGCTGAGCCTGGAACTGCTGCTGCTGCTGCTGCTGCAACGCCGCCTGCTGCTGCTGGAACTGCTGCTGCTGCTGTTGCTGCTGCTGCAACGCCACCTGCTGGAGCTGCAGCTGGGCTGGAGACAGACCCGGAATCAGGCCCAGCTGTACAAGGCCAGCAGAGCCCATTGCCCAGGGCTGTGCAGAAAGGGAGGGTGGTAAGACCATCTGCTGCCCCACCTGCTGCTGGGATTGAACATATGTGATGGGAGCAACATTTGTGTGGATTATGAAACTTACTATTATGAATTGTTCTATAATAATATAGAAAAAAGAAAAGAGCTAAGTCTTTTGGATAGCCAAGAAGCCCAGCCTCTGGTAACTACTAATCTACTTTCTGTCTTTATGGCTTCGCCTATTCTGGACATTTCAAATTAATGGAATCTCACAATATGTGGTCTTTTTTGATGGGCTTCTTTTGCTTAGCATAATATTTACAAGGTTCACCCATGCTGTAGCACATATCAATATTTCATTTATTTTTATTGCCAAATAGGATTCCACTATACCAGTGGTTCCCAACGTGGGGGACATACCCCACAGGGGGCGCAATTCGAGAATGAGTTATTAACAGTGAATTTTTTTTGCATTTCTTATGGTTCTAGGGGCCTCATATACAGTATATAAATATATATTGTGACATATTTATGCATTTCAGTTCTCTATTATGTTTTGAAACTTGCTATTTTTTCATATCACTTCATATTATTATTATTATTTTAAGAAGATTTTTATTGATTTCAGAGAGTGAAAGGGAGAGAGAGACAGAAACATCAATGGTGAGAAAGAATCATGGATTGGCAGCCTCCTGACTGCCCCACACTGGGGATCAAGTCACAACCCGGGCATGTGCCCCAACCGGGAATCAAACCATGACCTCCTGGCTCATAGGTCAACGCTCAACCACTGTGCCATGCCGGCCAGGCTTATTATTATCCTATATCCTATATAATAAAAGGCTAATATGCAAATTGTCTCCTCGACCGGAAGTTCAACCATGAGTTTGACAAGGGGGTATAACCGGCCTGTCAACCACCTACAGCCCCTCCCTCCTCCACCCCCCGCTGGCCCCATCAGGGTTGGCTGGCTGGACCTCACCCATGTACAAATTCATGCACCAGGCCTCTAGTTTTTTTTAACAATTTCTTAGGGATTTCTTCCTCAGTACTTCAACTTTCATTCTTTTATTTTTCTCTTTCGTGGATGTCATGTTCTTTGGGAGCTTGTTTAGACCAAGCTAATGGCCTTTTAGGCTTCCTCCATGTGAATAGGAGTTCATTTTTTGAATAAGAATTATATGTCACGCCCTGGCCAGTTTGGCTCAGTGGATAGAGCGTCGGCCTGCGGACTGAAAGGTCCCAGGTTCGATTCCGGTCAAGGGCATGTACCTTGGTTGCGGGTACATCCCCAGTGGGAGATGTGCAGGAGGCAGCTGATCGATGTCTCTCTCTCCTCGATGTTTCTAACTTTCTATCTCTCTCACTTCCTCTCTGTAAAGAATGAATAAAATATATTAAAAAAAAAAAAGAATTATATGTCACGGGGGTTGGGGGGGAAGCATCAGTATTTTAGAGATGCTTAGGTAGGGCATGGCCAAAAAAAGATTGGAAACCACTTCACTATACGGATTTTCCATATTTGGTTTATCCATTCATCAGCTATGGACATTTGGGTTGTTTCCACTTTGGGACTATTATAATAATGCTGATATGAGCAATCATTTATAAGATTTTCTATGGAGCAGTTTCTTTTGGAGTAATGAAAAGGTTCTAAAATTGATTGGAGTGATGGTTGCACAACTCTCTGAATACACTAAAAACTACCAAAGGTTTCACTTTAAATGGGAGAACTATATGGTATGTGAATTATATCTAAATAAAGCTATTATAAAATTTTAAAAAATATATGGAGAGAGATCCATTGTATACTTTGGCCAGCTTCTACCTATGGTACCATTTTGTGAAATTATAACAGAATAACACAGTCAGAATATGTGCTCATCTGTGCAGGTGTGAATATTAAGCTCTATACAATTTTCTCAACTGAGTAGATTACAGTCAAAATACTGAACAATTCCAACACCACAGGGATCCCTAGGAGTGCCACCTGCTTCAGCAACCCCATCCTTCCACCCGTGGCAACAACTAGGGTGTCCTCCATTTCTGAAATGTTGCCATTTAAAAAACATTACATAAGTGGGACCATACAGTTAGTTTTTTTCATTCAGCATAATTCTCTGAATATCATCCAGGCTGTAATAATTTTAAAACTGACTTTAAAGAGAGAAAGAGAGGGAGAGAGAAAGAAAGGGAGGGAGGGAGGGGGAGAGGAAGAGGGCGAGGGAGGGAGGGGGACAGGGAGGAAGAGAGATCCATTAGTTGTTCCATTTATTTATGCATTTATTGGGTGCTTCTTGTATATGCCTTGAATGGTAACTGAACCTGCAACCTTGGTGTATCGGGATGACATTCCAACCAACTGAGCTCCCCAGCCAGGGCTGTTCATGTACATCTAAATAAAGTATAAAGTTTAGGCATATTTTAATCTCTTTTCCAAATACAAGGACCTGAGAACCTTCTCTATTTTTTTTTTAAGAGAGAGAAGCAGGGAAAGGGAGAGAGAGAAACATTGATGTGAGTGAGGTAACAATCATCTGCCTCCTGCATGCCCCCTATGGGGGATTGAGCCAACAACCCAGGCATTTGCCCTGACCGGAATCGAAGCAACAGCCTTTCGGTACACAGGACGCCGCCCAACCAACTGAATCACACTGGCCAGGGCAAACCCTCCCTATTTTTTAAAGTAGGTTTTATGTGCACATAATAGACCTGATTTCCTTGATATATTCCCCCCTCTGACTTCCATTTATTTTGGTCCCTGTTTATCAACTTATGGCCACACAGCAGACTTATAAGAATCAGGATAGAATAATGACTAGGGGTACAGCCTCTGACCCAGGCTACCCTGACTCAAATCCTAACTCTGTCACTGTTCTATGCCTCAGTTTCCTACACTGGACTAATAAATAACCTATTATGGGTAGAATACTCAAAATAGTGCTTGGAATGTAGCAGGTCCATATGGAGGTTAGCTCTGAATATTACTATTTTATAGAGGTAGTATTTGTTTACACCAAGAATTCTCAACCTTATCCTTACTGAAATTTGGGCCAGATAATCCTATGTTATGGGGGGGGCTGTCCTGTGCATGTAAGATGTTTAGCAGCATCTCTGGCTTCCACCCACTGGATGCCAATAGCACCCTCACAGTTGTGACATCAAAATGGTCTGTAGACATTGCCTAATGTTCCCTAGGGTGCAAAATCATTGAGAATTACTGGTTTAGATTCACTACCTTACATGAAAAATATTTCTTCTCCCATCTTACATCTGGCATGTTGAGAAGGATGGTTTGAGAAGAGGAAATGGTGAGCAAGTAAAAGTATGTCCTTAAAATCCTTTTAATGAAGGTTCCTTAGGCTTTATTTATCTAAAAATGTCTGTTTCCTCCTAGTCCTTGGAAGTTTTACTGGCACGTAACTGTGGTTGGCAGCTCTATTCTCAGCACTCTAACCACCTCTTATCTTCTTGACTCCGTCACTGAGTCTGCTGAGTCGACTTCTTGCTCCTTATAGAAATTGGCCATTTTTAAGAGATTCTTCTGGCCTTTGGTATTCTGTTTCACAACAGGTTAAGACAGGGGTGGGCAAACTTTTTGACTCGAGGGCCACAATGGGTTCTTTTTTTTTTTTTTTTTAATATATTTTATTGATTTTTTTACAGAGAGGAAGGGAGAGAGATAGAGAGTTAGAAACATCGATCAGCTGCCTCTTGCACATCTCCTACTGGGGATGTGCCCGCAACCCAGGTACATGCCCTTGACCGGAATCGAACCTGGGACCTTTCAGTCCGCAGGCCGACGCTCTATCCACTGAGCCAAACCGGTTTTGGCCACAATGGGTTCTTAAACTGGACTCAGAAGAAGGAGCTGCGGCCGTGTTTCCCGACGTTGCCATGTTAACACTACTGCTGGTGAAGGAGCGGAGGGGAGAGCAAGAGAACCCCTCCGCTCTTTCGGCTCCGCAGGCTGGATAGAACAGCCGAAGGGGCCGGATCCGGCCCGTGGGCCGTAGTTTGCCCACGGCTGGGTTAAGACATGGGTGCTTTAACCGGTGTGGGTGTGCTGAGCTTTTCTAAGCCATCATCTCCTCACATACTACTGTGCTTCCATTCTCTCCACTTGGTCCTTTTATTAGATATTAGACTTTCTGATTTTATCCTCTACATTTCTTACCCTCCTATTTTCCATGTCTGCTTCTCTGGGCTACATTCTACAGAATTTCTTCAAATGTAGCTCTAGTTCACAAAGTCTTCCTTCAGCTGTATCTAATGCACTGTTTATTCACCCATACTTCTTTTTCTTTCATGAATTTTATTTCTCAGCTTCTGAAAGTTCTATTTGGTTCCTTTTCAAATCTGTGTGGTCATTCCAGAGAGTATCACAGTGCTTGTTCACTCGGGATTCCATCCTTTATTCTTTTAGCATGCCAAGCCCATACCCAACAATGGCTGTGTGTGTGT